GAAAATACGATGATGATAAATTGAAAAAAAAACCATAAACTACGAACCCGAACCTATGACGAATCTAGAAGTAACAAAAACGAAAAACTCATGAATATGAATAATAATGTTGGATAAAAAATAATTTAAACAATAAATCAAAGAAATCAATAACAAACCCTACATTTGGGATGAGTCCATAAAATTAATAAGCTTCCATAAATTTGAGCTCCGAAACGTCCTAAACAAAATGAAGAAAACATCAGAGCTAAATTTAACGACGTATAATAATAAATAATCCATATTCTAAGTCTTGTGCAGTTTTTTCATTATCGATATTGATAATAATATATCAAAACACCATAAACAGAAATCATAAAACCAGTAAGAAGACGAACGTAAGGTGGACACGATAACCTGCAAATAAGAAAACAAACAATAACAAAAAACTCGTAAGAAGCCACAAAAATCAGTGGATAGAGAAAACGTATGTATGTATATATACACAAATAAGCTAGGGTTTCAACTACAACTAATAAGATAATATCTAGCCAAATAATTGAAAATAAGAATATTTCCTGTATACGTTTATATAATGATGGAAGATTTACATAAATCCGAACGAATATTGTATAGGCTAATGGGCTTAACGAAATCTATAGTAAAACAATTAAAAAATGAGCCCAAATCTATTAGCACAAATTAGTTCGATGGCAAGGATAAAAATTTATCAAATTTGTTAAGGATGGGACAATAATTTACCATCTTAAAATCGATGAGAGTCAGCCACCTGGAAATTTTTTACTTCGCATCTTTTATATAAACCCGTGCATCTTGTAAAAGGATCCGAATCCGGAAAATTGGATCCGAATCACCTGATCTGAGAAACAGAAAAACCCGTAATCGCCATTAACGAAAAGCTTGAGAGCTTCGCAAACAGTGGATCCGTTACAGATCATGCGATCTCCTAAACTCTTTCACGCGCGGCCATCATTCTTCACGCGCCGATCGACCCCTCTGATCGTCTTCACCTCTATTGCAATCGGACTCACCGGTTTCCTTTTCGGACTATCCGCGATTCTTTTCCCGGGTCTCCGGTTATCCGGCCGGACCTGCCTCACGAACTCCCCTCCGAAGACAGTAAGGGTCGTCTGGGACGTCGCTGGAAATAGAATCGGTAATGGCGCTACCGGCGAAGTTAAAAGGCACAAAGTGATGGGATTCGTCGGTATTCAGACCGGATTCGGGTCATTTGGTCGGAGACGAGCGCTCAGGAACACATGGATGCCGTCAGATCCAGATGGACTTCGACGGTACTGATTTCATCTTCTCTCAAACCTCAATTTATCTCTGCTAGCTTTGGAATTGAACTATTGCATCATCGAAAATTGGGTTTGACCTGGATTTGAATAGCATTTACCTAGATAGGAATCTGATGATTGATCATAATGTTAAACCTTAAAGATCTGGAACCAATGAAGCTGAATATATCATTGTTCTGAGTACATACCTCATCATCTTTGAGGCATTTATCTTAAATGCTTGATGGACTATCACTATTTTAGCTAAAACACCACTGCTCTTTGCAGCTTGGAAGAATCAACAGGATTGGCAATCAGGTTTGTTATAGGCAAAACCAAAGATGTGGCGAAAATGGCTGAGCTTAGAAGGGAAATCGCAGAGTACGATGACTTTATACTGCTCGATATCGAGGAGGAGTACAGTAAGCTCCCGTACAAAACGTTAGTTAGAGAGACTAACACTTCTCTATTCACATCACAAAAAACACTGATC